GATAGCCGCACCAACTTGGGTCGGCGATCTCATTAAAAAACAATAGAATACAAAGGCCGGCGGAGACGTCATGCCCCCCCCCCCCGCGGAGCCTTAGCGTATTACTATTATAGATAATGCTATTCAAGAGATAATTAAAACACATTTGACATTTACAGAGGGAAGGCCAATTTAAATAACTATGTATTGCTCCAGTAGGCAGGGAATTTTTTAACCCCCCCCCCTTTTTTTTTTTTTTTTTGGGGGGGGGGGGCGATGGCTCCATATCTCAAAATACATGCCCCTCCCCCCCCCCCCCCCCCCCTGCCATGAAACTTAGCAGTGACACTTACTTTGCCATCAATGGTAACTTCCAGGCTAACCTTGACTTGATTGGCTGTGGAGTGATGTTGCCATGGTAGTTAATATAGAGGGCAATGTTACTATCAGTAGTAAGCAACATAACCCTGGTATACATGAATCTTCCAAGAATGCATCTATTTTTGGCTCCCCTGACTGTCTGCATGAATTCTTCAAAGAAGATGCATCACCGCCACCCGGAGCGTAAAATGTATGAATTTAAAATACAGTTGTACATGTAGCTTGATATATACAGAGTGTGAATGATAGAGCTATGGAAAGTAGGTGTATAATCACCCAGACCCTAGGGCCCGTTGTTGAATGTTTGATGAACCGGTCTGACCCATTTTCAACTCCACGGAACGAAGAAAGATGAGCGGGGAATGACGAGGTACGGGTCATAATACGGTGCCTCGTCGGGGCATTAGCGCCATCAAATTTAACCTGGAAACCCGCAAGGGGTCAGAACGTGGGACTAATTCATCTTGTGATGTTATACCGGTCCTCCATGTATACTGGCTGTTGAGAGCGAGAAGGAAGTTAACCCACAAACGATAATGCAGAGTTAATTAATAAATGCCCTTCCTGCTCTAAAGAGATGAATTGCATCCTAGGTCTCATTACTCTATACATGTAGGCCTGTCGTCATCAGCTCGAGTTAGACAAATAACCCGCTATTTTCAGACCTGGGATATTATCCCGAAGCTCATAATTGCGTCTTCACCAGACCGATACGCACATCACAAACTAGCTCGGACAAGCGCAAATTAGCCTGATTTATCCTAAATAGTGTGATATTTTGAAAACGAGACTAATATTTCTTGGGATATTTTCTTGACCAAATATCCCGCTAATTGGAACTGCGGGCTGATAAAGGTGCTAATTAACTGGTTAATTTTCGATGTTGAATACAAGATCATTCTCTACTTGCTGACTCAAAATGTAATTTGATATATTGTGCCTTCTCATGCTTATCCCCTTTCTAATTTGCATTTCTCTTTCCTCATCTTCTTCTCAACCCCACATGCAGCTCACCATTTAGTATTATTTCTGTACCCCCGATCTGTCACTTCTTGTTTGGCATTGTCTACTCATTGTATTATGACCGTGTTCTTCAATCTTTGTCATGTAAAGCATTGTCTTGTCCTGTTCTCGTCTCTGTTGGCATCCTCCTTGTTATACATGTATCTCTATTTTGTAGTTCCTTTTGTAGTTTTGACTTGTTAATTTAATCACTCATTATTCCTAAGTATGATTTGAGGTGTTCACACTTGCACAAGCATTGCTTTTTATGGACCCTTCTGTTTCCAATATGTACATGTATTTCTACATTTGTTGTAAATGTTTATAAATGATTTGTAATGTTTTGTTTGAAACAAACATTGAAGAAAGCAGATGAAGATGAGCTGATGAAGACTGGCCTTATGGCATGCCATAAGAAAGTCATTAAGCGCTGTCAGCTGAAGGACATTAATATCGCAGCATGATGTATACGTGTGTACGTGTATCCCTAGGTCATGCTTTGCAATAACTTGGGCTTTAGATTTGTAATGAGAAGTGCACATGCTCCCATATGGCCAAAATGCATATTGCTCTGTTTAAAGGTAGAGTCATGTATATGTACTAATCATCCACTTGCGTTTTTAAAGAAACAAATTTAAGTTACAGGAAACTATTGAGTTTGTATCACTTCTGGATAGTTTTGTCAGTGAGGTTTCAGAGTCATCAAATAATAACAAATTGAAAATCAGAAAGAGCAGAGATAGTACGATATTGGAATGCACACACATAAACATGCATGCTATCAACATTTTCGCTTTAACTATTTCTAGTCACATTTGGCAATCAGAGCATTTTAAGAGCAATATTTTTCATGTGACATTGTTTTTATCATTTTTTTAATAAAAATGATCTGGACACTTCACAGCTAATTAGGCACCTCTCTAGATCTCATCCTTGCAATCCTTTCTTTAACCTCTGGGTACTTTAATTATATTGCATGTAACAAAGACCCATATACATGTAGATTTTGTTAAAATAAGAGTAACATGTTGTATTGACAGTGTTAAAGTGCTTCATCTTAAGTAGATGTGGACTAACTGCTAAATTCAGAGTTTCAGCTTTGTTGAATTTGCCAGAGGGGTTGAGGGTACACAGGAGGGAGAAATTCTCCCCTATGAGCTACCTGCAATTCATAGGACTGTTGTTTGCTAGTAACTGGTCCACCCCTCACCCCCTTGAAAATTCCTAATTTGGCTACACCCAGATACAACACATAATTCTACTATCTTTGGCTAAGAACTATTAAATACATCCCTCACTATTTTCTATTCTGTTTACGCCCCTGATACGACTCCTCCAAATTATTCTGGAGGGGCCCTTTACAAGTGATCCGGGTACGAGTATGCCAGCCTGATGTGAAATTCATGAACCTCGGCGGGAATGTATGGAACAGTAATGGGAAGCAATGTGGCTGAATTGAGGAGCGCAGGCACGAGATAGTGATCGTGATGGACGGGGATGAGGGGCTGTGCTGACAGCTTTAAATATAGCCTCAATCTTGCGGCGCCCTCACAGAGGCAAGATGACTACATCAGGTGGAAATAGAAGAATGTGGCATTTGTAATCTGCTGAATGTATTCTCATTTATAGTGGGTACGTGTTATGATTTGGGTGAATGTTGAAAGCGAGCAGGGGAAAGAGTGTGAGGGAAAAGGAGGATTGGGTCTGGGAAGTATTAGATGAAACAAAAAATGATGGAGATTCAGAGGGATTGATGCCAAAGGGGTTTAGATAACGAACAGACAGACAGAGAGACGGACAGAAATAATGTTTACAGAGGTTATGAAAGGAGTGATAGACAGGAGAGGGGGGGGGGGGGGGGGGGGAGAGAGAGAGAGAGAGAGAGAGAAAGGGGGGGGGGACATACATGTACATATAGTGAGAGATAAAGAGAGAAAGCAAATGTGTGGGAGAAGATTATAGAGGGAGAGAGATACATAGAGAATGAGATGATGGAGGGAGAAAGAGATATAAAACATGAGAAAGATAGAGAGAAGAAAGAAAAACAAAAAGTAAGAAAGGAAGAAGGAAACCATCAGATGAGGCTTTCCTGCTTGATGGATTGGATGAAGTGCAATCTTTGACGGGAGAAATATTATCAGCCTTGAGAAATGTGTCTTTCCATTATCTGCCATCTTCAAGCCGTACTTTTAGCCTCTCTCCACTACAAGCTGGCAATTTGATATAGCTGTACGCACTACGCAGCTAAATCAGAACTGTCCTAACCATTTCGTTCATGAACATTTGTACTTTCCAATCAGATAGTGTAGAGAGATGAATCAGATCTAGGCCACTCACCAATGTTCTAAAGTTTAATGAGAAAAAACTATCCACCTTTTTAAAGGTTCGATAAAATTGTTTTGATCTTCGGAAGTAAGACTATGTACATGTATGTATATGGGTGGTGGCAATTCAATGGAATTCCTCTGAAATATTGTCTTTTGTCTAGGCTCGATGGGTCGACAATCATACTCACTAGGGACACCATTGCGCCCCAAATCTAAGTCTGGACCCCTAAAATTGCAAAACTTTTATACCCGTCATGTATACAGATTCTAAAAAGTCAGATCCGGTCGCCCCTTGTAAAAAAGTTAGTAAAGAGTCCTCCTTTACCCCTTCCAAATTATAAATTTTTTGATAGATCTCTTTGATTTCCTAAATGATTCACACATCTGTTTCTTTCATTGTTTCAGTCAAAGCTACTTGTTATTGGACATGAATCCTCTTATCAAAATTACCAAATCCAAGTAGTTTCCTGCCACCTTTATTGTGAAATAGGAAACCACTCATTGGATGTGCGTGCACACACTTAAAGTTAACAACAGAATTATTCATATACATTGTACATTTGATGTGTGTTTTTTCTTCGTAACTCAGGAATAAAAGGTGAATTGATTGAATACTTTGTCAAGTATGCTTTAGTATGCCATACTCTCTAGAAACATACAGTGTAAATAAGGACAAATCAATTTTTTACATAATTGAAAATTACAAAACTTGCTAAGGATATATATATATATATATATATATAAAACTAAAAGTAAGTTGTAAGTTAAGTAACTGTACATGTGTGTGGAGATTCTAAGGAGGTAAAAATAAGACACTGATATAAGACGTAATTAACTGCTACTGTGTGGAGTACTTTAGATGGTTTCCTATTTTCACAATAATGTATTATATTTATTTCAACCTTATTATTTCCTCCTTCTTTTGAGGGGAGGGGGCAAACATTGTACATCTAATTATGATTAAAGACTGTTGTCATAGTGACAAACTGTTGGAACCTTCCTTTTCTCCAGGTGACCTTTTGATTGAATAGTTGCATCTAAAATAAGCAGTTTGTTTTTCAACTTCATATAATTAGGACCAAGTACTCAAGATATCCATTTTTTGTTTGGAGCTGTGTTTCAGTACAACTCATTATGCTAAAGGCTTTAGAAATTAAGACCTTTGACATTTTGATGACCTTACTTCCTCTTCAGAAATAACAAGTACAGGGCAGTCTTATCTGATTCGTTTATCTTTTTGCTGAAGGTTAAACATTTAGTTTTGAAGACAATTCATATTATTTTACTCCTTTCCTTTCTTTCTCTTTCCAGAAATTACGACTGCAGTGCAGTTCATGTGCGGTGATCTCCAGCTCCGGTCAGCTTCTTAATAGCAGCGCTGGTGCGCAGATTGACACATACCCTTGTGTCCTGCGCATGAACAGCGCCCCCACCAGTTCATATGAGAAGGATGTAGGCTCTAAGACAACAGTCAGGGTCATGGGTCACGTCAATCTATTAAAGGTAAAGAGGGTTTTTTTTAATCGCTATTTATCATTTTAGTATGGGTAACCGTTCTTGGATAAAATGTGATGAGAGAAATGTTTTGAAATGAATTCTGGATTAGATGCTGCTTATAAGTATCGGCTTGCATGGTGATGTAGATATACAGTAGGCTTGCGGTTGCACCATGTGAGAGAGAGGGGGGATTGGGAGTCCTGAAAAGGACTGACGACGGATAGTCAACCTGCTCGAAACGTCGATCCACTCCTACCACCCATCTTCTCCAACCGGCGCTATAGTTCTTCTTAGAACTCTAAGCTAAGAAAGAAAACCAACAGTCTTTTTCAACACTAGCAACAGTCCTTTTCAGAACTACACACCCTCAAGAAAGAAAGATTACCACGATTCCTTTTCAGGACTCCCCAATCCTCCCCCTCGTTCACATGGTGCCACCGCAAGCCTGTATGAATTTTGGATTGTTCACCTTCAGGTTTAATTGATTACTTTCTTTATAATGCCGTCATCAATTTGATCATTGGTAATGTCGTTTTTAATCATAATCTATGCGGGAGCTATCATCATTATTGAAACTAATAACCCTTTCCTGCTTGTGATCCCTAGGTCAACCAGAGCAACACAGAGCAGATGGAGATCTTCATTAACAAGACAACGAGAACCGAGATGCTGGTCATTCCTTGGCTCTACACTACCCGCATCAACAAGAGACGGGACAAGCACTACAACATCGCTAAGAACTTCTCCAAGGTCTACCCGGACACAGAGTTCTACGTCCTATCCTCAGGGAAGATGATCTCAGCGGAGAGCATCTTCCAGCGGGAGACGGGCATCACAAGGTGGGTTTAGAGAGGACCGAAAAAAAAGAGATCGCGTCTACTTCAAGGTAGTCTGTCCCTTTTGCTAGCTGAAAATATAAAACTATGTCAATCCTGTGGTAAACGAGAGATGATACCAATTAAAAACTCCTCTTAAAAGATTAGAACTAGTAATTGCCTCTATGTGGAATTATATCGACCATCAGAGAAAAATATGCAAAGAAGCTAGTCTGATTTTCAGACACCTGAACAGCGTAGTCGTACGATTTGTGATGTGTTAAACGTTTAAATTTAATAGACTCATAATACCTGCAAAGTCCTACAGAATTTGATATTGGCTGCAAAAGGGATACACTACCTGTAAGTAGATTAGTGAAATTTAGTGGCTTGTAAAGAAGCATTTGGAATGCGTTGGTGATATTGTTGAATCTTAAAGACAGGGTATTTTAATACCCACATCGCTACTACTGCTGTAATGAATTTTCAGTTGCGCCATCTTTAGGTGGAGGTGTACATAGAGCAATTTCCACTCCCTGTACTCAAATTTCATCAGTTGGTGATGCATGGTTGGACATGGCTGTCAACACATTGGGCATTCTGAGCAGCAGATGGCAGTATATACATACAAATATCAACTAAATTATTCATACCCTTAACACCAAGTTTTGTTAACTTTTAAGTAAGTGAAGAATTGATTTGTCCCCAAATGGGAGCCTCAGAAATTGTGCATATACTTTCATCAACTCATCTTGGTGCTACAGATGAATTTTGAGATCACTTTCTAGGGGCTTGCAAATCCTTAATACTAAAAGGGGCATTAAATTGTTTGTTTGTAAAAACTTTTTTGGAAAGTTTCAAGCAGTGTTCATTGTTGAGGGAATCTAGAGATACGTCATTTGCCTCCGTTTTGTTTCTTTGTTCTTCATCTTTCTAGGGAATTCACATGTAAAACCCAATTTTCATAATTATCGAAAAATTTCATTTAGCAGAAAGCATTTCAACCCACACTAGCTTTGTTTTGACAAAAACAACTTCTTTCTCAATATTAATATCTTTCAGTCTAATGCACTATAGATGTATTGCTTTTACGTCATTCCTTGCTTCTATGTGTTTTGTCTTCCATATGAAATTGATTCCGCCTTGTGTTTAGTACTCAAGCAATATGGCTGTATTGGATTCCGAGTTTTGGATGTGGTTTCCATGGAAACCGCAACATGAGAACGTCCATTGATTATTGCCTTGGTGTTTCAGAAGTGCATTTGTTAAAGCAGAAGGAGAAAGCTGATGATTATAAATGGAGATAATAGAAGGAAGACGCTATGGGATTTTCTTGACATTTTACAAGAAATTGGATATCATTTTTAGCTCAGGAAGAGTTCTGAAGCAAAGAGATCATTCTGACATTAAGAATAATAAGGGCACTGCAGCAAGCCATGTGCTTTGTATTTTATAAGAAATATCAGTTAATTATTTCAGATAAAATGATATTTTGACGTAAAACTGATCATTCTGACATTAAAATATATTAACCAGTTCCACTGCAATGTTTGTTCAAGAAGCATGTTGTGTAAGAGATTAAATGAATTTGTTGGTTAGAATTTTGAGGAAAATAATTCATTCTCAATTTCTTGTCATATTGAAAGAAATTGTCACTGCAAACTTGAGCCAGAAAATGAGAAGAGGTTTGAAAGAAAGGAAAAACTTCTTTCAGCTTGAGTAGCATTTTGAAGCAAAACAGATCATTCTGACATTGAAATGAAATCAACCTTACAAGTTGCTCACAGTTCCTCCCCGTTCATTTATTAGAACCAATCATGAAAAATACCTGGAGATTGTTTTCATTACCTTATTGGTAGGATTAAAAGCAAATATTGCTGAAACGCATTCCACGAATCAGAACTGATGACTGTGAGGCAATGTTAACATTAAAAAAAACTTTTAAGAAAAACTTCAGATTTGGGAGATGTACAACAGAAAAGATATGAATTATGAACATCTTCAGAAATTATTTGCCAGAGGTTTATCCTAAGAAAATAGATCATACTTCCCCACCCTTTGGCTTTTTAAGGATAAGTTACGCCGATATTCTGGATTGTAATGCTTATTCATTTGAATATAAATTCACAGGTTTCCTATTTTAGCTTTCCTCTTCTACAGGCTAAAGTGTCATTTTTAAAAGTCTTTGCAGGTTTAAGTGATTGGACGCATGTGCTACTATTTAATCATCACAAATCCTGCCATATGGCAATTATGGATTAAGACGACTTGGTTCTTCCCTCAGTTGTGCTCTCTTTTACTCTCTCTCCAGCTCTTACCCGCTCTCTCTCTCTCTCTCTCTCTCTCTCTCTTTCCTTTCCCTCGGTTCTCTCTTCCCATCCTAGTCGATCCTACATGTCTGTTATCATGAAGGAATATCACATTGCACAAAAAGCTGCTTCCTCTATTGTATCCCTGCTTTTTGCCTCTCTTTGGTTTTTCTTCTCCCTCTCTCCCTCTCTCTCTTTCTATCTCTTTGTTTTTCTCTCCTTTTCTCTCTCTCTCTCTCTCTCTCTCTCATCCTTCCCTCTCTCTCACTATTTCCAGTATAGCACACACTCAATTTAGCTCTCTAGCTCTCTTCCTTTCACTCATCAAAGATCTCTTCTTTCTACTTTTCCATCCTTTATATTTCTCATTTCTCTATCTCCCCCCCCCCCCTCTCTTACCTCCCCTCCCTTCTCTCCCTTGACGGTACACCACTGCGGGCGTGATACATGATTCGTGATTACAGCGGATGACTTTATCTTTTCTAATGTCTCCTAACCTCGGGGTACAATCTGAACACTCATCTCTCATGACCAGCGCACAATGATGCGAAGAGCTCTCATGATTCATGAAGAGGGCGAACAAAAAATCTGAATGTCAGAACCTGATCAGTAGGTATTCTATGGATAGTATAAGGGTGTGTGCAAGCGATTTTTTGAAGCTAGAATCACAAACATGAATCACAAATCAAAACGCCCTTAAAAAACCAGTTACTGTGGGAGAGCGTTTAAGCGAATTTTCATCAACGGCTTTCAACGCTGATTCTCGCTGTTTACCGCCACGATAATGACATTATAGAATCATGATTGAGATCTCTTTTGCATTCAAGCGATTTTTAGTGACTGTGATGATACAATACGTGTCTTTTTTCAGCGTTTCATTTTTGCATTTTGAAACACGTTTATTTTTAAGACGGCGAAAAATCACTTAAAACGCTCAAACGCAACCGTGTTTAAAACAAAACGTCTTTGAAAACCATGTTTCTAGGGTGAAAAAGTGTTGCTTGAACGTACCCTAAGACCTGTAATCGAATAAGGACTATGAGGAGAGACATGTAGTAAAGGTAGGCGATCTTTTGAGAGTCAAACAAGTAATTGAATAAGAGGGACTAGAGGATACGGAGACAACGTCAGAAAAAAAAAGAGTTTTGATTAGTTCTGTTGTAAGACTGGCGGGGATACCAAATGATTTCTTGTTTGTCATGGAGATGCTTCCGGTTGGAAATGGAAAGAGTTGGTATGAAAGAAAGAAAATGAATGAAAAGAAAATAGAGAAAAAGAACACAAAAACAAATGGATAGATAGAGTAAAGGAGCGCTAGCCTACAGCATACAGGTGGTTTTCACAAGAAAGGCTGTTTTGGATAAAGTGAAAATGACATCATGTTAGCAGACTCGGAATAAAAATCACTCTTGATCATCATGAGCATGTAATTATGACCGTCTTCCTAGTACTCCAGAAATAATTACCCCATTACAGAGCTAATGTTTCAGGTTTATGGTATTAATGTAGCCGCCATCTCAGGAGGCTGATATCGAGGACCCTGGGCTATTTTTCACCAATCATTGCACAGAATTTTGTTAACAGTTAAAGCAGAAACCTGGGAAAATCCATTTGGAATGACATCTTTGTTTCCATGTATGTTTCCATTTTCTAATGGATCATCAAGATTTGTTGTTCTCTTTTACATCACTTTTTTTGCCGATAAGACTTCCTGGCAATGACCATTTTTTAAAAACATTTCTTGCCTAACTTTGTTCATAATCTACTCAGTAAATTGCCTAAAAAATAAATTTTTGGACAAAACAAAACAACTACAAATACTGTTTACAAACAATGTGCACTTCGCATTCCTGTCTCTTATGCGCCAATAAATCAGTAGGCTCACTGCCATATGTTGTAGCGCACCCCCCATTTAAATTCAATATTACAGTGTCCCTGGTTAAACGTAGTGTTTGTTTTGATGTATAGCTTGAAGAAAGTAGGTTGATGAATTTACTGGAAAAACTGGGTTAGTAAAACACAAACTATCCTGACATTCAGATTCTGCCATATTCTATCTCCTTGTCCTTACTCCAATCTACTCATCTACCCACTCCTGCACAAATTGGAAAATCCATGTTCTTTTCATGGACATACATGTAGATAAAATCCTCAGATTTTAAACGTAAGAGCTCTGATTAGAAAGCAATCCATTAACCTCCATCAAAATGACCCGCAGACCCTTCCCCCGTCAGCAGATCGAGCCATGGATATATATTTTCTAATCAAATATTTGCACAGACCAAGGTCTTTTCAGGCAAAGGACACATGCATTAGATGGCTAAAGTAGATTTTAAAACACACTATGAGTTCACACCGATCCGCTGTAGTTTAACTTTAAGTTTGCCAAACCTCAAAGTTATAAGCAACGATCCACTATAAACAACAATGAGGGTTCACACTGGACCAAAACAACAAGCATTCAAAGTTAACTGCATAGTAGGGAAAGCATTCATTTTAAGTACCATAGGTTGTTTAAACCTTGTAGTTAATTGCGTCTGCACAGGACATAACTTTGAATAAGGATACCCGGCTTGTAAATTCAAAATTCACTTAAGTGCATCCATACAGTAACCTACAAGATAACTTATACAAGATAAGTTTTTAGCCCTGTCCTAAACTTTAAGTTAAGAGACTCGTGTGAACCTCACTTCAGTTGTGTGAACCTTACTACTGTTGTGTCACTCGTGTGAACCTCACTACTGTGATATAAGACCTGTGGCCTGCTGTTATGTCAGGCGCATACTGTAGAAATATAGGGGCAAGGATTTGATAACAGTCCATGAGTGCTAGCAATTCTATAATCTAGAGAAATATGTTGATGCTGTTGGAGATAGTGATTTGGGGGGGGGGGGGGGGGGGGGGGGGGAGGGGAACCTTGCATATTTAATACTGATAGTTACTGATATTAGCTCTTGATAGGTACATTAGGGAAATACTGCCGGGACACCAGATTACAGTCTTCTTGTGTGAATGCTATGCTAAGTTTTTTTTACCATAATTTTAAAAATTCGAAATAATTCTTCATCAGAATTTAAACATTGACTTAATGACCAGTCTCAAAGAATATTAATGTGGCATTTGAAAGGTCGTTGTATTAGAGCATTGTCAATGAAGATCAATATCAAAGGTGTGCATGGGCAATCACACAGGAAGAACCCTTCCCAACAAATCAACTGATTTGCATCACAAATATAGAGGCCTGCAAGCACTGCAACAATCTCTTCTTTCTTTCACTCTGTCTCTCTCTTTCTCTGTCTGTCTATCTGTCTGTCTTTCTCTCTCTCTCTCTCTCACTCTCTATCTATCTCTCTCTCTATCTATATCTATCTATCTATCTATATACATGTATATATATCTCTCTCTTTTTTTTCTTTTTCTTTTTCTCTGTCTTCTGTCTTTTGTGATGGGGACTTGAAGACAAGGGAAAATTCCTTTATTGCAAGCATACCGATTAGTTGGCTAGACCTTATTGTGGGATAAGAATTTATCCAACAGAGATGCAGGAAAAGTTACATGCTGTTGTTTGTATCATTTGTTTGCATCATCTGGAACTACAGAATAAGATAGTATAATATTGTATGCACTAGATTGTAGTGGAAATTTGAACATTTAAAGTCAACATATGACTATTATATTTTCAACTCTCTACTTACTGTAGGTGTTTGATAAATGGGTAGAAAGAACTTCCTTGAATGCTGGAGCACTGTAATTGGTAGCTGACCCAAAATTGGGGTTGTATTGGAGCACCTCATTAAAAGGCATTACTTGGGTATCTTTGCCTCAGATTCTAAACAAAATCCTGGATTTACCTCATGCTGCAATCATGATTATAAACCTTTAGGTCAGTCAGGAACCCATGACTTCCATCGCCTGTCTGATTATCAAGATATTTATGATTGGAAATCAAAATTCAAGAACCGCCCTCCCAACGGTTTTTATAACACTATAGTCTATAGGTATGGTAAAACCGGTCACTCAATTTTAAAAACTTTTTGGAGGCATCTCATGATCATTTTTAAGCGCTCCAATATTACACCATATCAAAGACACTGATAACACGTAGGGCCATGCATCTCAGATTTAACATTGTTAAACGATGCCTTTAATATTTTGTGTGGTGGACATGAGCGCTTTGGAAGTATCCTATCTTCGAGTGTTGTTATAATGATTATTATATTTTGCTTTGTCTTTTTTTACTTTTTGCTCTTTAGGAAAGATGCCAAGACGTGGCTTTCCACCGGCTGGATGACCCTTCTCTTTGCTCTGGATGTCTGCCAGAAGGTTGATGTCTTTGGTCTGGTGCCTGAGAACTATTGCAGGTAAGGATCAATTAATAAAGGCTTGTTCAGATATGATGCTGCGAAACCATGCTGGTTTTCTATGATGACATTAAACAAGCAATGCACTTCACATTTCTGTGTCTTATAACACAGAGATACATGTATGTGATTAAGCATAGGAGCACACGTCAACAAAACATGGCCGCTTTTTTGCGGTGGTTTAGCGCGTCATATCTGAACAGGCCTTTATAATTAGAGTGACGATGTCCATGGCCAGTATCATGGCTATTATTAGCCTGTAGACATTCTGGATTTTCCAAAAGTTTAAATAAATCAACTTTACCTCCTCAGATTGGCATGTATTATATTTTTTTTAATTCACTGTTACATTCTTCAGACAAATTGTACAGTCAAACCTGCTTTAGTGACCACCTGTCCAGACATGCCAACCGTTCCGATTTTAACGGAACTGTTCCGTTTTTGAAGTTTTTATAGCCCTAAAAAAATGGAACGTTCCGATTTTGGGGAATTTGGCTTTCCATACATAGCATTGATCCGATCGAGTGCTGAACGGATTGCATTGCGCAAGGTGCGTGCAGCGTGCACTGATATGTACGTACAGTGGCAGCGTGTTGCTGCGCGCCACGTGCACTCTGATATGTGTTTCCGTACGTAACATTTCCGTACGTAAATACTTGCGCTGGCAAATCTCGTAAGTATAATTTCTATACGTTTGCACGCATATCAGCGCAGCATGCATGCATTGGCTATCGCGGCTAGCGCACCGTATATGCATAGGGTCCCCATGCAAAGGTACCGTATACTTTGTGATTTGTGATTTGTCTCGGAAGAAAATCTGTCAAAATGAGCGGAACAGCAGCAAGACGAATTCAGAAGTACAAACAGGAATACAAGGAACGATGGCAAAAAGCTAGCCCGCCACCTTCCCACCTCGAACCTTTCGAGTTCCGCTAAAATTGTGCGCTGCGGAGCTCCGAGGGTGCGTTGGTATCGCTGGCAAACTCTCGGGCGGCTAGCTCCCCACGACAGACCATTCGCGGTATGGCGAGAGTGTGTGTGTGAGATACGATTTTGGATTCGAGAACGCACGTACCACAACCGTGCGCGTCATTTTCAGCTGTCGAATGTCTACGACCAATTTTACATACGATTTTTAGTACAGATACTTTGTCAGTTTTTTCTTATATCTTTGGTTTTACAACATTTAAAAATATAATTTCTCCAAATTTGCTCCTGACTCGGTTCAGACTAATTGTCTGATGTGTTTTCAAGTCAATTTCTTGAATTGAATATATTTTTTTGCATGAATTTGCCTAGACCTAGTATGACACAAAAATTACCCATAAACTTGGGTTGAATTTTAGGGGAAATGGTCCCTAAAATAGGCTCAGATTGCACCAGAGAGCATCTGGAAACCCAAAGCTTCCAGGGCCCTAAAGCGGGCCCTGGACCCCGGCTAAAAGGACTTCGCGCTTTGCGCTCGTGATGTGCGCTTCGTGCACATAGTGTACAAATTTCTGATTTTCAAATGTTGGCATGTATGCCTGTCTACAAAGACCACCTATCTACAACAAGCACATCTTTTGTTTCCCTTGAAAATGGTTTGTAATAATAATGATAAATGTACTACAGGAACATGTCTACAAAGACCACTTTTTGTGTTTCCCTTGGCCGGTCGCTTTATACAGGTTTGACTGTATATATGAAATGAACTTGTATGAAAATTACAGGTTTAAATATTGCAGGTTTAAACCTGGACTAATCTTTTTTTCATAGAATCCAGTTTGCAGTCTTTGTCTTGATTCCAGGACCTGTCATCTCTCTGTTTAGGCCCTTTCAGGTTTCATATTGTACAGAATGTTCCAGGCTCCAACAGATTTGGGCCTCTTTCAAGGCAAATGTCGCAAAAAGCGAGCATCCTTGTTAATGAATACCAGCCATCATTTCCTTGTGTTTCATCTTCAGAGTGCATCCGAATGATACCACACCGTACCATTACTACGACACCGAGTTCAAATCCCAGTGCACCTACTACAAGGAGAGCGAGGAGCACCTCACGTTCGGTCATCTCTTTGTGACGGAGAAGGCCATCTTTGCTCGCTGGGCCATGAAGTTCAACATCAACTTCCTCTACCCGACCTGGAACCTGACCATCTCCAACTCCTCTGGGCCGCTGGACACGCCGTTCATCAAGCTCTTCCATGAGGCGCAGCACAACAAGACCAAGCAGAAGACCCATCGCCACCGCTCGTTCCTCGGCGCCCGCATCCGACCCCGCAAGCCGCCCGTCATCGGTCCCAAGACCAAGGAGGAGGCGGAGAAGGAGAAGTACCAGAAGCTGACCCACGCCATCATGTTCATCGTCGCCATCTTCCTCAGCTTGGTGGTGTTTCTGCTTCTGTTTTTACTGGCAAGTCTTTTTGTCTTCTGTTTTTATTTATAGCACGACACTTCATAATGTTTGTAATGCATGATGAGTGATCGATCATCCTTGTGTACATATATGTATGGTGATAAATTATTTCATGCCAAACTGTTACATTCAATGACTCACGTTATTCACTACAACCAGGTATCCTGAAGAATTTAACCTTGACTTTTTTATAAGAAATCAAGTCACTCATATGTAAATGATGTTTATCTGAAAGTATTATTACAAGAGTGTAGCTAGATTATCTATCTTATGTCCATATCTGCAATGAAATGTTGACATGTGTGTTATTACTTTTACAGATGGACATATTGAATATCAGGAAGAGCAATTTGATCAAAAGTCATTTGCAATAGTACTCTTCTTGCACTTAATATCCAAAGAAAGGTCAAAGGTCACCCTTAGTGTTGTCATCAGCATTTGGGTTAATTAAGATCATGTCATCCTTGATCGTGACACTACATCAATCTATTCTTAGATTTTGGAGACCCCGAACCAACTGAATACTATTCAAACGGTGCATTCTTGCAGATCGATTGGTTGCCTCTGGAAGACTTGCTGTTAAATTGACACCATTAAGTTTGAAAGAAAGAGAAAGAACAAGATAGGCATGATGACATATTTTTTACTCTTTAAATTTTTGGACTCATAAAAATATTGCCAAAAACATCTGTCACAATCAAATGTATTCACCAGCAGAATGAATAGTGATGAAGTTTGAGAACAATACAACCAGTGTGATGCATGTATGGCTTTTATCATTATCATTATTATTATTATTATTATTATTTTTTATTTTTTTTTGGGGGGGGGGAGGGGGGGGAGGGTGTTAGGGTAGGGAAGGGTAAGGAAGATAATTATATTGTGAATACTGAAACATTCCTTTAGTAGATGGTTGAAGAATGTAGTTTTGCACTGTAGATGTCAGCTGTTTTAATGTTTTCGGAAGGTGGTCACATAACCACTCAAATCAAAAAATGATTTGGACCACTAAGAAATCATAACTTATAAACAGCGCATGTAGAAAATGTGAAATGTATCTGCCAAATTCATGCCAGAAATTTGCCAATCCATGTTGCAGAAAAAATATGCTCAATCGGCAATAAAGTGTATAAATGTGTACTGTTGGTTTCCTGTTTGAGTAATGCTAAGAAAAAATCAGGAACAGCAATAGGTCAAACTTGCATTGTTACAAGTAGCCATGAATCGGTCACTTTGGAGTTGTGACTCTGACTGTGTGACCCAGGTCTAAGCTATTTTTATATCCAGTTGTTGAAAGCATTGAGGTACATGTATATGATGGACGGATCAGTGTAGCTAAGCAGTAGGAAAGTGGGCAGTGTGCTACCTATTAAGCATGTGCTATTTTCTTTGTGTCGTTCTTGTGCTTCTTGGTTACTTTTGCACAAACTTGCACCATTTTATTTATTTGTCTCGTGAAAGTAAAAGAAAGGAGCATGTTATGTTGCCATTGGCTTTTTTTAGGGTGAAAAGCAGCAACTCTGCTCTCAAGAGTGCAATGTATGCCACAACATGCACCAGTGGTGGCATTTAACCATGGACACAACCATCAAATTTGATTTACAAATGGAGATATCGACACAAATTTCAAGTAAACCGGCTTCCTTTGATAAACATCTCAATAATTTAATAGGTTTTGATGTTGCATTCTTCATTCTTGTCTACTTCAGGAATGGAGTAAACTTAAGGTAGATTTACAATGTATGACCCTTCACAGTTAATCATACAAATACACATATGTTCACTTTGTTAACCATTGTGTAACAGCTAGAGTAAGTGCATTGACCCTTGTAGAGTGCATTGACCTTTGTAGAGTGCATTGACCTGAGAAAGTGCAATGACCCGTCTGTGCTCCCCCATTGCCTCTACAGCAGCACATGATGCTGGAAGGGGAAGAGGAGGATGACGCTGACGGCAGAGACCGCCAGTGGGTCAGTAATATGGAGAGGGCGACATTCAGCCGCTACCGACATAACCTCAGCTATTGAAAAAATATATGTGAACCCTTGCCATTCCATGTGCTATTAAAAAAAAAACAGGTATATATATTTTGAGGTCACAAAGATTATTCACGGTTTCATACTTCTCTCTTTCTTTCATCAAAACGGTGCTCCGATAAATGCTCCGGCGACAATTGCTCCGGGGTTTATTATTTCAAAGATATAAAGTTAAGGTCAGGGTGGCAGTTTGGTTTTAGTATAGGTTTATGGGGTAAGAGGTTAGGGTTAGGTACAGTGTATTTTATCGATTGCGGATTAATTGTCGCTGAAGCATGTGTCGTGCACCCTGTCACAACTATTCATTTTATAGCTAATCTAACCTTTCAATAATCTTTTTTTGAGTGTTGTGGACCATTTAGGATTCAATTTTTGTTGGTATCCATCATTAATTCCAATTTGAGAGCTAACTCTTTTGTTTGTTTATATTGTTTTTGTTAAAGCAGCAATTGTTTATTCATCACATTACATGTAGGTTGCAATTATATGACCATTTTACATCCCATTTCATAGCTGCACCTCTGATCTACATGTAGTTAGTAGATAGAATAGAATAGAATAGAATATAATATAATTTATTGTCTTCTTCCAAAGAAAGGAGAAATTTTCCTTCCAGGTGATCATGCATAAGATTACACAACTCGTACAAAATTTATAATATAAATACAATCATACCAAAATAGTAGATAACATAATCTAAGTTCACTCATATTTCATCCTGTGATGACAATAACAAAGAATAAGACTAAATTGCACAGTTGTCGTGGTTTTCCTTAACCGAATTAAATTTCTTAAACCAAATGATGAAGTTAAATAAATGACCAAATCCCATCTGTATCCAGATTCGTGCAGGCTTCCATCAGCTCCCATCTGCCTACATGAATCACTGATGCGCTTGACATTTTTTCGTCCTCAAGCAATTATGCATGGCTTTTCATGTATGTACTAGCATTGCAATGCATCCTAAAGCTTCATTGGCACATGACACATTAAACCACCTTTAAAAAATGAATGAGAACACTGCAGTGAATTAAATCATGATTTATATGTAAATAAATAGGAGGTAATAAAAGAAAGAAGTTAGCACCAAAGAGCCCAAGTGTAGTCAGATATGTTTGTGAAGCGCACTATGTTTGTCATGTGATTGTGCCTTTAAGGATTATGAGGTAGTTCACAGCAACATGATTGGAACAATGCTTATTCATACCTGCCAACCACCCCGATTTAGGCGGAGTTCCTCCGCATTTTTCATACCAACTCCGAATTCCGAATGCATGCCTCAAAACTCCGATTTTTTTTAATTTGTTAATTTTTTTTTTTTTTTTTTTTTTTTTTTTTTTTTTTTTTTTAGTGTAATGCACTTGGAGAGTATATAACTATTATGTTTGTATTTCGAAATGTAAAGCGCCTTGAGCATGTTCATGTAAAGGCGCTCAATAAATACCAATATGTATGTATGTATGTATAAGACTAAAGCATAACACAGCACTGATAACCAGATCACGCCGACATCCGCGCTCGCGCTCATAGAAGATATACACAGCGCAGCCCGAACGTGATCGTTAGTTCCCCCCCCCCAATCTACGGGCTACTACCCCAATCCTTCGATGGTTCGCGACCTCGTAGTCCATCCAGAAAAATTTACTCCTAATTTCTCTTGTCTCAGGTTGGCAGGTATGCTTATTAAAGCCCCTATCAGGGATTTGCAAGCCCTCAAATATTTATCTCAAAATTTTTCTGTAGAAGCAAGATTAGTTTAAGAAAGTATGTGCAAAATTGCAGATCAAAAGAGTCTGTGGTATCCTCTCTTTGAGTGCAAAGTGAAGCCCTCATTTTACACACAACAAATGGGGTAAGTAAAACACTGCCAATTGCAAAATTCAAATTTGAAATGAAAAATGACTATAATTTTGGTAATAATGAATATTTTTGCCACCATACTTCTTGGAAAGTTTTCAGTCATGATTTTCCTCACACTTTCGGCCATTTTGCAAATTTGAGATTTTCATCATGCAAATCCCTGCAATGCCCTTTAAGTGTAAATTGAGCAATAAATGCAGAAAATCAAAGCCCTAATTCCTGTGAGATGAAGAGGTCTTTCCATTTTCTCAGAAATGCTCAGCAGTTTTTTCTCCTGAAAATTGTATGTTCCTAGTCTTCACTTGTTACATGTATCATAGCACGTGAATTGCTCATGAAAATTCCTTGCTTAGCCATAGTTTTGTGTGATGGCATCTTGGTAAATGCTTGGCAACAGAGCTTACATACCTAAGTAGTGCAAACGTGTCATCAATACCAGTATAATTTACCTTTTATTCTCCTTAAACCCTTGTTTTGAGGATATTACTCATGCACACTGTATGTGTGACAAAAGTCAACCATGGCATTACTTCATTTTGTCCCATTGGTTGACAGAAGCTGGTAAAGGACTAACATCTCCAATTGTTAAAAAGACTGAATTTTAACAAACTACATGTATCTGTAGGCTTGCATGATTCCACCAATCATTATTGTCAAAATTCATTTGAAAATTATTTTTTTCTTCTCTTCAAACTAGAGATTTCTAGCTTTCCAATGAGATCTCACACTTTTTAGTTTACTATTAAAGAGCAGAATTTTCCCATTTGCTGCTCTGTAGTGATATTTGAGATCCTATGGTGGTTTTGAGCAGATGCGCTGTGTTGCGTCACAAATGAGAAATGGCATTCTCCCCTAATGGGCATTGTGTCTCATACATTAGCTTAGCAAGATTATCATTTTCTCTTCATCATTCACTTAAGGCTTTGATGAGTCACTTGGCTGGCATCAAGACGATGTCTGTACGAGGTCCATTACTTATTTAAAACGGTCTCCTATGTCTTTGGACTTCTTCCATTATTGAAGCCAAATCATGATCATTAATTTGGAGGATTGTACAGGAAAGATAATTACTTTGGAAATATTTTAATAATCATCAATTCCCTGTCTAAAACCTAAATGCAAAACCAAAAGAATTAGCAAAATGTTTTATTATTATCATAAAGGCATTACCTACTTATTATGTTCCAGATTATGTTCCTCATGTTGCATCCTTTTGAAACCCTTATACCCGAGTCACACCGAAAAGACCGACACAAGACTGACGGAAGACCGCCAACAGACAAAACAAAAATATCCATTACCCCTGGTACCCCAATGGCAAAAAGGTCTGTCGTTTGGAGTCGTCCTGGAGTCGGTTTGGCGGTGTGACTTAGACTTGATCTCTCATCAGATAAATGTGCAGATTGTGAGTTTGATTTATGAAGATTCATGCTCACTGTCTACTCTTTTAAAAACATTTTTAAGGGAACAATATTTTATATAAAGACACGCTTTACTGACACTGACAGCCAGTAATGACAAATCTGATGCTAAGCTCTTGTACGTGTTATGGAAATTGCTATTTGAAGAACTGACAATTCAAATTCATTGGCATGAAAACTCAAGCTTTACAGTGCACTACTAAACTCTAGGTGACCCAGATAAGACCCCTGTTTTTTGTACAAATTGGTAGAATAAATTAGAATATGTTAGAATATTTGAATAATTGGGAGTTGAAATTTTCCATTACTGTTTAAAGCTGATAAAGATACATGTAGGCAACTATCATACAGGCTCTAGATGTACACATAGCTTGTGTCGGCATAACTATATTGAAGGTTTGGGGGAAACAGATTCCAGATTAATTATCCGAAGCTAAAACTTGTGATGAAAGTAAACGTGTAAGAGGATCAATTAGGCGATCTGCCGAACCTCGGAATCTAATGAATTCTATCAGCACAACCCCATTGCTACTTCAGGGAAGACTTCTAATTTAGAATCTATAAATAATGTCACTGACAACGTTTCTTAAAATTGCACCTCAATTCTTTAATTCCCCACTTCAATATATAAATGTTCCTTTTGAAGTGCTCCTTCGCGAAAAAACAAATGAACACATGAACAAATGAGTGATGAAAATATATTATGAATGATAGACAATAAATTGATTTGAAAATAAATAGTCAAATAATGAAATAAAAACCATTACACAAATGCACTTATGATGATTATATTAATTAGTTTGGAGATCTTGTGTAGGTAATTGGTACACACGTATGTTTGTGCTATGTTATTTGTTGTACATGTATGTTTGTACAATCAAGCACATGCATTCCAATACAAATGTATAATTGTGTGTAATTATGTATACAGATGTACTTACTGGAACTCGTTAAAATGTAGCTTCCACATGTACATGTATGTACTCAGTTGCATATGCACAAAGTGGTTTTCAAACAGCTTGGTCCTACTGTAAAAATGTAAAGCATTCATTATGCATAAGAATTTAAAGAGACATTTCCCCTTTATCCTCTCTCTCCTTATGCTATAAGTGTTGAAAATAATTATGTTATCTTTGTCGCAGCAAATTCATTTCTGACACTTCTTGGACTCTACGCCTCGATCCATTTTCTTGATGGATAATTTTTCACGGTAAATGCGATGGATGTACAGTATAATGTATGTTTACATGTTTATTAATGGCAGACGAACACATTGAAAAGATGACGGATATATAGTCACCATCATTTGTTATTTGTGGCAGAGCTAGGCATACCCTTGCTTCCTCTTTCCCAACATAGCACTCACATCAATTAATAATTTCTTTCATCTTCTTTTTCATTTTCCTGTGTTACAAATCTTTTCCTTCTTTCCTGTGGGCCTTTCTGCCTCCCTTTCTTCTTTCTATCATTGTCTTGCTTTGTCTGTCTCTGTTTCTATTTTACTTTTTTCTTCTTTCTTACCCCCCCCCCCTTCTCTCCCCCCCCCCCCCCGACAGACTCACTTTCTTAGTTACCTCTCTCTCTCTCCTCTCTCTCTCTCTTTCTCTCTCTTCTCTTTCTTTCTTCTCTGGGCGTACAACTGTAGAAGAAAGAAACTTGCACACAATAATTGTAAAGAGCTGATACCTATTCACACGTCCCTTGTCCATAATATGTTATACCGTTCAATTTTATGCTATTTCTGTTTCCCAAATTTTCCTA